TCCTACAGTATTTTTACAGTCTTTATTTTACAGTTAAAATAAATGTTTATCAAATAAAGTCTAAAGTTACAACTAATCGGGGATCCCTTTAAAGTTCAACCAACAAATGTTTAATTTAATAAAGGCATTCATCTCTTTATTTAAAGATGCTTGTTCTACAAATTAAACATGTCCACAGCTGTGGTTTCCTAAAGGCTTAACGTTCCAAACTCCAACATTCCTCAGAGTTTGTAGGATTTGAAGAAGTGATCCTCTGATCCAACCTTCAGGCCCCCGGCTGCCCCCGTCCCAGTTAAAAATACCCCAGACAAAGAAATCACCAAAGCCTTATAAACTCCTTCTTTAACTGGGTTTTTGTTCCCTCCTTGTTTCAGCGTGGCCATAGATCCCCGGTCCAACCCGATTTACTCACCTTCACACTTCACCCATCACTCTTCACCCCCCTCCTCCCACACCCCTGCACCTGTTTGTTCCTCTCCTCCATTAGGAACACAAACAGACCCCCCGAGGCTCGCTGCTGCCTGCTAATACTTGCACGACTCCGGCAGGAAACGGGGAGGTGGAGGGTCTCCTCTCAGGTTACCTGTCCAGGTAAGACTGTTTGTTTAGTGTTGCCTCCCAGCAGGACTGAGGTCCAGGCTTTGTTAGCGAATCACTGGACGGATTTGAAGAAAACTCTCAGAGATTAATCATTAGTTGTACATGTGGAATCCAATTCAAGATGGCCGCCTTGACTGACCTTACAGCACAGTTTTACACAAAGTGAGTTAACGTGGTATGGTAGTAGCTGAGCGCCATCCCCGAAATGTATTTCAAGAACCATGCGGTGAGCAATTTTTGTATCATTTTAGCATAAACTCTGTCTTTCTCAAAATATCTCATTTATCATAGGACAAATATTCATGCACAACAACAAAAAAAGTCCATCTAACCAAGTCTTACAATTTTAAATCAGCCATAAAGTCTTTTTGATCATTTATTGGGAATGATATATATGAAAAAAAGGGCCACTGGGAAAATAATTGACTTTAATCTCAGAATTATGAGAAAAAGTCAGAATTCTGAGATTAAAATCAGTTTTTTAAGTCAGAATTCTGACTTTTTTCTCAGTAAAAGAAAAAAATTGACTCAGAATTCTGAGAAAAAACATCAGAATTTTGAGATAAAGTCAGTATTTTTTTTACTGAGGAAAAGTCAGAATTCTGACTTTAATTTTAGAATTCTGAGAAAATGTCAGAATTCTGAGGTTAAAGTTTGTAAATATCCTAAACAAGAGCAGATTATTAATCTTTTTAGCCTTGATATCTTTTCTTATTTCAAGAAGTCTCACCAAATGTTACTGTCAGTTTTTTTTTCACTTACCGTATTCATTCAAGTATAATACATAAAATTTAATCCATAAAATCATCCATAAAGTTGGGGGGTAGTACTATACTCGGATAAATATTTTTACTTATGTATTTTAACTGAAATATCAGCTTCATTCACAAAATGCTTGAGTCTGGAAATGAGACCACGTCGTAAAAAGCAGTTGAAACGAGCTCACCTCTGACACTCCTCCATGCTTCAGAGTGAGATAATAACAGATCCAAGCAGGAGACATGATGTGAAAAAAATGGGGGGAAGCAGTCCTGCAGCTCAGTAATRATAACAAACTAATGACATTAGTGTGTGACCGAGCCGCTCCTGGAACAACAACAAACACATGTTCGTCTGTAATGGCTGCCRTCTACCGGTGTTCTGAAAAAGTTTGTATCCCTGAAAAACGTTTCCCCACCAGAGGGGGCGCTCGCGAGTAGGAAGTAATCTGCTTTTCCCCCACAAGATGGTCCAAATCTCATGTGAAGTCTCTGACTTTTGTGTTGGCGCCTCCTGGTGGACTATGTGTAAAATGCCAGAATTCATATGATGCTGCTACAGCTGATATATATTTGTTGTCAAAATACCTTTTAGTACATATGTTGTTAAAATAAAATGAACAGTCCAATGATCATTTTACTGATATGTATAAAGACTGCAAAGGCTGAAAAATCTTGAAGTCTGGATGAAATTGGAGGTAGTTTGAGGATTAAATGTTTTATGCCTTTTAAGCTAAAAAAAGGGTCGTATTATACATGAGATCGTATTATACACGAATAAATACGGTAAGTTATGAAGATTCAGACTATAATCTATTATTTGTTTGAAACTTTTTTTAGATGTAACATTTTTAGTTTATATATTTTTTAAAGTAGCTCTAACACTGAATCAGTGAAAATATAAACCGTCAGTGTGATTGACGTAAACCTGTGGAAAACTCTTATAACTCAGGTGTTTTAATAGAAATTTAGATAAAATGTCGTGATTGTAGCTGAGAGTCATCTTGAAAAWACTGCAAGATCTTTGGTTAAAACTTTGGCATCTAAGGTGACATGCAATCTTTTAAGAAATGTCAGTTTCATTTAAATTAGCGCTCGCCATCTTTACAGCACCATGCTGCAGCAACACTGTGTAATTTATTTCTTTTCTTGCATTTCAGCTCATACCAAAATTTCCACCTCTCCTCCAGTTGAAATGGATGGAAATCACGTTGAATGTAAACAAACCTCYGTCAGGTTTGGGTTTGTTTTCCTGCGCAGACGAGGGTTTGGCAGCTGGAGTCGGGTTAACAAGAGCTGTAGCTCTGTTTCCACTTGGCGGGGTTCTCAGCAGAAACACATTCTGATTGGTCCGTGACAACCTGATCAACTGTTTWAAAGATTTTAAATTCAGCTTGTCACCGAGTTTATTGATGCAAACATCGGTGCCAAGCATTTGTGTCAATATCCGACGTCCAAAAACTGAAAAAGTCTAAATGTTTCCAACATTTGTTTGGACTGTTTTCTCCGTAATTGCATTCCAACGTGTTTACAATAAAAAAACTCAAACTCTGGTGAAAGACTGATGTAYTGGATACTAAAACAAAAGAGTTGTGTGAAATGCATCAGTTCTTGTGTAAACAGAGTTTGTATGCAGAGATGTTTTAATAAATTTTACACATTTTTCAGTTTGATGTCATAAATATAGACCTGAAATCTGAAAAATCTGACCAATGTGTGCAGGAACAAAAATAATAAATATGTTAAATACTTTAGTTAATATTTCACACTGACSTTTGACTACAAAGTTATTCAACAATCATCATCATCATCCTCATTTATTTATAAAGCACAATAAAAACCAAAGTGCTGTGCAGGAATATAACCGTTAACTCTTTCTTAAAATAAATGCAGAGCTTTCAGAGACTCGGCTGATCTGTTGTCCACCTGTGTGACAAAACAGGAAGTTTCTGTTCTGAGATAGTTTCTTTAAAATCTGCTGAAAACGACACTGTGACACCGAGCTGTCCCAGGCCACCTCTGTGGGGTGGTGGGTCTCTGAGGGTCTGAGTGTAGAGTGTAGGAACATTGGACTGTGAGACATTGCATTGTGGGATGCTGGACTGTGAGTCATTAATCTATTGGATGGTGGATCTCTGAAGGAGTGTGGACTGTGGGACATTGGATTGTAGGATGTTGGACTGTGGGACGTTGCATTGTTGGACATGGACTGTGAGATGATGGACTGTGGTACATGGACTGTGGGACATGGACTGTGAGACATTGCATTGTGGGATGTTGGACTGTGGGTCATTAATCTGTTGGATGGTGGGTCTCAAGGAATGTGGACTGTGGGACATTGGATTGTGGGATATTGGACTGTGAGACATTGCATTGTGGGATATTGGACTGTGAGACATTGCATTGTGGGATACTGGACTGTGAGACTGCATTGTGGGATATTGGACTGTGAGACATTGCATTGTGGGATATTGGACTGTGAGACATTGCATTGTGGGATATTGGACTGTGAGACATTGCATTGTGGGATATTGGACTGCGAGACATTGCATTGTGGGATATTGGACTGTGAGACATTGCATTGTGGGATATTGGACTGTGAGACATTGCATTGTGGGATATTGGACAGTGAGACATTACATTGTGGGATATTGGACTGTGAGACATTGCATTGTGGGATATTAGACTGTGAGACATTGCATTGTGGGAAGGTGCACCTGGACCAGTCCTGGACTAGTTCTTCTGTGTTTAACTGTGTCTCTTTCCTGTCCCTCAACTAGCCGGTCAAGGCAGATGGCCGCCTGTCCTGAGCCTGGTTCTGCTGGATGTTTCTTCCTGATTAGCAGGGAGTTTTTCCTCTCCACTATTTGCTCAGGATGGGAGACTTTGATGTGAGACATGGACTGTGAGACATTGCATTGTGAGACATGGACTGTGAACCGTTGGACTGTGGGAAATTGGACTGTGGTATGTTGGACTGTGGGACATTGGATGGTGGTTGGACTGTGGGACATTGGACTGTGAGACATTGCATTGTGAGACATGGACTGTGAACCATTGGACTGTGGTACATGGACTGTGGGAAATTGGACTGTGGGCCAGTGGGCTGTGGTATGTTGGACTGTGGGACATTGGACTGTGGTACATTGGACTGTGGGACATTGGACTGTGGTTGGACTGTGGGACATGGACTGTGGTACGTTGGACTGTGGGACATGGACTGTGGTACATTGGACTGTGGGACATTGGACTGTGGTTGGACTGTGGGACACTGGACTGTGGGACAGTGGACTGTGGTATGTTGGACTGTGGGACATTGGACTGTGGTTGGACTGTGGGACATTAGACTGTGGGACACTGGACTGTGGGACACTAAACTGTGGGACACTGGACTGTGGTACATTGGACTGTGGGACACTGAACAATGGGACATTGGACTGTGGGACACTGGACTGTGGTACGTTGGACTGTGGGACATTGGACTGTGATACACTGGACTGTGGGACATTGGACTGTGGGACACTGGACTGTGGGACATTGGACTGTGATACATTGGACTGTGGGACATGGACAGTGGTACGTTGGACTGTGGGACATTGGACTGTGGTTGGACTGTGGGACATTGGACTGTGGTATGTTGGACTGTGGGACATTGGACTGTGGTTGGACTGTGGGACATTAGACTGTGATACACTGGACTGTGGTACGTTGGACTTTGGGACATTGGACTGTGGGACACTGGACTGTGGGACATTGGACTGTGGGACACTGGACTGTGGGACATTGGACTGATACATTGGACTGTGGGACATTGGACTGATACACTGGACTGTGGGACATTGGACTGTGGGACATTGGACTGTGGGACATTGGACTGATACACTGGACTGATACACTGGACTGATACACTGGACTGATACATTGGACTGTGGGACATTGGACTGTGGGACACTGGACTGTGGGACACTGGACTGTGGGACATTGGACTGTGGGACATTGGACTGTGGGAGAACAGGTGC